CCCATTGGGTCTGTGTATTCCCACTTGTATGAGTTGAAATGGATGCTCCTCTTGATGAAAAGTAGGGCTGGGGTGTTAAATAGTGTAGTATATGCTATGAATCAAGCCTTTCCTGATGGTTAGGTCTGCCAGATGAGTCTTGTGTTCCCCTTGGGATGCAGCCTGTAAGTCTGGGATATTTTCTTTCTGCACCTGATTATCTGGTAAGTACTCTTGTCTGCATTTCTCCAATATGGAATGACCTGATTTAATGTCTTAGCCACGCTACACATTCATGCTCAGCTGACAGCATATGTGATAATAGCCAGTTGAACAATCTTATATTCCACCCACCTATGTGACACTAGCACCACAGAAAAGGTCCCTTGATAATATTTTTTACTCTACCACTTCTTTTGAGTGAAGAGTATTCCCTGCATGAGAAAGATGTAGTCTCACACCAAGGGATGCCCCACTAGGCTAACTCATCCTAGTTGGTGACATGTTCCATTGGTTTTTTCCTTTCTGATTCTGTGTTTTCAGAAAGGATGTCATCTTTGCAATTTCTTTCTTTGTATTGGCACCTCCAACATCATCTCAGTGTGGGATTCTAACCCTCTGTTGTGTGGAGAGATGACTAAATGTTTCTAAAGTTAATGTTTTCCTTACCTGAAAATGTATTTCGATAATTACTCACGTCTTTGCACAATCTTCCACCTTTTCTCACCACTTCCTGTGTATTTCTCTTACCTCATCAAGAATGAGCCTGTGTTTAAGTGATCATGCTCATGAGGATTACTGTACATAGAAGATGTGTCATCATCCTGTTTGTGGAAAGATCTAGTTTAATGATGATTACATCACAAGCTGGCAAATATATCTTGGAGTGGAGCCTCATTCAGGTCTTGTAGCATGTGCAAAAATCTTCACAGCAGTGGTGTGAGGTAATAGTAGCTTTTTGTTGAGCAGAAAAATGGGTAATTAATAGAAGATATTGACTTTAAGCTTTTGATTTTATTTAACAGCGAACAGAGAAAAAAAAATTGGGATTCACACACATTGAGAAAATGCATGATGACCCAGCTATTTATATAATACTTGTAAATTTATATCTGTAATGTTTTTTTATATTATCATATCAACGTTAAATGCATTATTTTGCAGACATGACACAAAGATACTATACACTGATACAGAGTATTTTTTAAAAGTTAATAAAATTACAGTACATATATATTTCTTAAAAAATGTCTGATGCATAAGATGTGAAATATAGAAACATGGGTTATATTTTTTTTCTATATTCTATGTTGCAGGCTGACAATTTGAAAATACTAGACTATCAGAATACATAAATATGACTTCTTATCAAATTCTACCTAGGAAATTAATATTTAAGAATATTGCTTGCATTTGAAATATAGATAGAAAGAAAAAAACATGTGCATATGTTTATAAAAGTGGGTTGTTTTAACAATTTATTAGTTAAAGAAGTGCAAACTCAACTCATGCTTCAGGATTTTCTGTAATTGTCTGTATGAAATCACATTTTGGCTTTGAATAACTGGGATTATTGTTGCTTCAGGTGTCAAGTTTGTAGTTAAATATGGTAAGCTTGAGGTTTTTGATTTAGCAGTAAAAAATGGGATTGTAAATAGTAATTTGATATTGTCTCTAATATAAGCTGATGTTTTTTTAATGAAAGTCTGGGTGACTTGTGAAATTTCTGACTTGGAAGAGGCTTTGTCCTTCTATTCATATAAAAACTACTGAGTGGTGAGTACATCCTATTAAAACAATTTTGAATATGCAACTCAGTAAGTTACATGACAACCACAGTTGATGTAAAAGTGGAACGGCATTCATTGGAACTATATTTTTACATTTTATAAGTAGATGCTACAAAAAATTGATTGCTTTTGGGAAGGGTATGTTACAGCCCTTTCTGATGCAAAATATTTACAGATCATAAAGATGTGTTCTGATCACAGATTGAGAATTTCTAAGACTGGAATATCCCTCGTACTTAATGGTATTGGAAAACGAAATAATATGGATTAACATGGGGAACCATGACCATTCAGAAAGACTCCTGAAACAAGTTGTACACCATCTGTGGTAAGTAAAGTGTGAAATCTTGTAACAGGTGAGAATCTATGAATACAGAGGTCAGTGACAAAAGTCATCATGGTTCCCCAAGCAACAGAATGCAACATAATCAAGAAAGATCTCATGGAAAAGCAAAACAAGTCACGTGTACACGTTTTTCCACAATATATTCTTTTTCCACCAGCACATACCTCAAGCAGCTGGAGAATAAAATGGGTATTCATGCTATTCCTTACAAAGACATACTACTCAAGTTGCTCGATGTATTGCCTTTGGATTTTTTGTGATTGGACTCTTGAAATGAGCACTAGGAAAGAGTAGTCTTTGTTTACTAGATGTATTAAAGAAAGCAGAGAGGGAGGTATGGTGTGCTTTGGACATGACAATCTTATGACAGCTTCTTTGAATAGAAAGCACACTGCAGGGCTATTGTCAAAATGCACAGTCATCAGATAGAGCATGAACTGACATGGCAACATGGATTATAATTATGTGGTAAGGCTCCAAAATCATTTTTATATGATGTGCTCAACATCTATAATACTTGACTCAAACATTATATAAATTAAAAGTTACTCTTATAATTAGGTATTATTCATATAAATTAGTTGTCATAGAAAAGAATGGGCATGTTGTTTGGATATGTAATAATTACAAAATAAGCTAAAAATATGCCTTTGTGTATGGTGATTTCATGAAGGACTTACTCAGTGTTTGAATGATTCATTTCAATGACTGTTACACATGTCCATCACATTTGTATGGGAGATTGTGTACTTAAATTCAGTTTCAATCCAAAGAAGTTTTGTAATGTCAAGTTTATGCATAATTCAAAACTGAATGATTACATTAAATATAACAAAATGATAACTAGGAATTTGATTTTTAGGCAGGTAAGTCAATCCCACAGTTGGCTAGTTCAAGTAGAGATAGAACATTGAGAGTTTGGGATGTTACTGAAGAAAAACCTCTTCATGTGATAAACATTCCTCATCAGCGTGGAGGAAGAGCAGATGAACAAAACAAAGCTCGCCATTGGTTCGCCCTCTGCTGGATGCTAGGGAAACAAAATTGCTTGATTTGTACAACAGTAAGGTATTTGTTATTGACTGAAAGCTACAAACTTGGGTATTCATGAGATATGTAGTGAGATTTAAGCAAGCTATAATCCTAATATATACAGTCTTGAGAAGAAGAAATTTATAACCACATCTAAATTATCTTACAGCTGATTTCATATATAGTATGATATGGTTAACATTTTCATTTGCATTAATATCTTCCAACAGTATCAGAAATTAAATGTTTTAGGATATGTTGTGTTTAATTTTACATAAAGTTCTGTAAATGTAATGTTCAACAAATGTATCAATTTAAGATATTATATGCAAGTCAACATGTCAAAAGAGCATAGTCTGTAAAATACTTTATTATTAAATTATTTTTTACCATGAGACAATACACAGGGTAATCACAAACAGGTCTAAAATATTTTTAAAAGTCTCTAGTGTGTCTGCATTATATATACTTATTTTTTATGTGATGTGTGTATATTAAAATAACCCTTACAAAAACACAGTATTATTGAATACTATCTCCTCAAACGTGATGTATGTCCATGTTTTTCTTTAATAGAATGAAACTATATATTGCTGTTGTATATACAAAAATGAACTTAGAATATCATTTTCTCATTTTTATCTTCTTAATGCCTTAAAACTGTATCTAATATTTAATTTGGCAATTTTCAAAATGTCTAATATTCAGCTGAGATAATGAGAGTGAGAGCAATTTCTCTTGGTGTGTATATTCTATTTTGCTAGTGGTGATGTGATGCTGTGTGATGTGGAGAAACAGACATGGAAACATTTCAGCACTACTGAACGTGGTGGACATTCACGCTGTGTTTTCAACATCTGCCTAGTAGGAGGTGAATCAGAGATAGCTTGTACAGTGTCATTAGACCGTCAGGTGAGAAGGTAATTTCTATATAGCTGATTTAAGTGAATAAAGTTACTACCATATTTTCTCTCTCTCTCTCCACTGATTGGTCAATATAAGTGAATATGGATGTGATTTTGATTCTTACAGACCTGTTGAGTAGATTCATAACAAAACATTGGATATATTAAACATTTTACAGGAGCCTTAATAAAAAAAGTTTGAAACATACGGACTTATAGTGTTATGAAAGATTAGAAAGACTCGAGCAAACAAACTGTTGTTTGGAACATCTCACTATGGCAGGAAAGTAATAAGCAAGCTCTGGAACAGCTCATCTTGGCTGGGAAGTAATAAGGAAGTTCTGCAACAATTCACCTCGGTAGGAAAATAGTAAAAAACTCTGGAACAGTTCTTCATGATAGTAAAGTAATAAGAAAGTTCTGGAACAGCTCATAAGAAATAAGGAAGCTCTGAAACAGTTGACCTCAACAGTAAAGAAATAAGGAAGTTCTGAAACAGCTCGCCTTAACAGTAAAGAAATAAGGAAGCTCTGAAACAGCTTGCCTTAACAGTAAAGTAATAAGGAAGCTCTGAAACAGCTCGCCTTAACAGTAAAGTAATAAGGAAGTTCTGAAACAACTCACCTTAACAGTAAAGAAATGAGGAAGCTCTGAAACAGCTCGCATTAACAGTAAAGTCATAAGGAAGTTTTGAAACAACTCACCTTAACAGTAAAGTAATAAGGAAGCTCTGAAACAGCTCATCTTGACTGTAAAGTAAAAAGGATGTTCTGGAATAGCTCACCTTGAAGTAAGGTAATGAGGAAGATAGGAAGTAGCTGATCTTGACAAGGAAGTAATAAGGAAGCTCTTACGGAACTCACTTTAACACTGAAGTAACATAGGACCTCTGGAACAGCTCACCTTGACAGTAAAATAATGAGGGGTATTCTTCAACAGATTACTTTGGCAGGAAAGTAATATGGATACTTTGTAGCATCACCTTTGCAAGTAAGTAATAAAGAAGCTCTTGAATGGCTCACCTTTACAGTTGAGTAATAAAGAAGCTCTTGAATTGCTCACCTTTACAGTTGAATATTGAGTAATAAGGAAGCTCCTGAATAGCTCACCTTGACAGTAAGGTAATGATGAAGCTCTGGAGTAGCTCATCATGACAGTAAAGTAATAATGAAGCACTGAAACAGTTCACCTTAACAGTAAGATAAAAAGGAAGCTTTGGAGCAGCTCACCATGACAATAAAGTAATAAGGAAGATCTGGAACAGCTGACCTTTGCAGAAAAGTAATAAGGAAGCTCTGAAACATTTCATCTTGGCAAGGAAGTAATAAGCAATTTCTGAAATTGTCTCTTTGGCAGGGAAATAATAATTCTGATACGGTACATTACTTCCACTCACATAAATAGCTATTCTCGTTCAGTACTGCCCTCTATATGCAAATTTTTTTTTACGTATGCCACAAATCTTTATCTTCCCGCAATTGGAATTGACTGATTCCAATGCATCTCTCATGCAAATCATCATGCGACAACCCTCCACCAATAAGAGTGCAACACACTCTCATGACGCATGTGACTCCCTCTATTCAATTCTACTGAACTATCACTTCTAGTTTGGCAGTACTCATGTTCAAACATTTTTTCTTTTGGAGCTCTTTATGTGTTAATGCATTTGTGTCTTTAATCATTTAATTTCTGAAGTGGGATTTCTTCATTAATTTTTTACTTTACATTGAAGAAGTCTTTAACTTTGTTTCCCAGTCTTTTTTTTTCTTCACACTTGCATTTTTATACATCAAACACTTTTATTTGATATATATTTCTACAATGAATTCTGAGGTTCATGTTACTACTTCGAGTATCATACTTCCTACTAGCATTATTTTACAGGCTGCCTCGGGATCCTACCACAAGCCAGCATCTATAAGAGGCGGTACAAGACCTGTCTCAACAGGTCATTGAACCTGTTCATCATCTTTCTCTAGGCTTTTATTCCAGGCTGTTTGTTGTCCCCAAGAAAACCAGAGACTGGCAGCCTCTAATAGATTTGTTCCACCTCAATAAATTTCTCAATTTGCCCCATTTCACCGTGGAGTTGTTTCTCACCCACATGTGGGCTTTTCTCCAGGTTTATGGATGACCAAGATGGATGTGAATGCTTATTTGCATATCCCTATCTTTGGTTTGTTTACCACGATGTGGTTTATCAGTTTTGTGCACTGCCCTTTGGGCTTGCTTCAGCCCCAAATGTTTTTTGTAGGGTGGTCAGAGCATTCACTCATCACTTACATGCTTTAGGGTTGTGTTTTCATCATTATATGGATGACTGGCTACTGGTAGCTTGTTTCGAACAAGATTTTGCCCATCACAATCATTAGCTGCTCCTGGAGGCAGCTCGGGTGGACTAGTTAATCAAGTTGGAGAAGTCATTCCTGTGACCTACCTAATATCATGTCTATTTGGGTGTTTTTTTCAACACCCACCTCAGTCGGGCCCAATCTTCTCTTCTTCGACTTTGATTGATGGAGCTTTCAGTTCTCCATGTTCTTACTGCTCCCTCTATTACAGCTTGCAAGGTTCTATTGCCTTTGGGATGTGGTCTTCCATGACAGCCATTATCCCCTTAGGTCAGGCTCATATGCAGACTCTTCATGACCCGTGGAATCATGCAAGGGATCCTTCCTCCTTCCCTTGTCAATGATCTGCATTGATGGTTGTACAAGACTCACACATCAGTGGGTGTCCTGCTTCCTCCTCCTCGTCCAGATTTACACATTCTCATAGACAAATCCCTTCAGGTATGGGGGGGCATGGGTTGATCAACAGGAAGCTTCAGGGTATTGGTCTGTGGCCGAGAAGTCTTATCATATCAACATTCTAGAACTTCTTGCTGTACATTGTGCTTTTGGTTCATTTTCTCAATCTGGCCAGAAATCATCTGGTAATGATCCATTGTAACAATTCTGCAGTGGTTGCTTATCTCAATCACCAGGGTGGCACCCATTTTCAATCCCTCTGTATTCATAAGTTGGATCTTCTTTTTTGGGCTCACATGCTAGATATATCATTGAGTTTCATTTTCCAGGTGCTTTCACTCTTGTTGCGAATCAGATTTCTAGTCCAGACAAAGTCTGTCTGATGGAGTAGTCTCTTGATCCTCTTTTTTTTCCAGTGGCTTTGCCTTCAGTGGGGTACTGCTCACATCGATGCTTTTGCCACATCCCTCAACCACAAATTGACTCTGTTTTTGTCTCTGGTCCCTCATCCTCTTGCTCTGACTGTTGATGCATTCAGCCAGAACTGGACCAACAAATACCTATATGTTTATCCTCCTATTCGACTTCTTCACCGAGTGATTTTGATAATCCATGCCACTCCATGTCAAGTCCTTCTGATTGCTTCTTACTAACTGGCTCAGCTGTGGTTTCTACGGTTTCTTCATCTTCAATTTACCCCTCCGTTACCTTTTCCTCTGACTCCATCCCTTCTTTGTCAACCTTGTTTACTGGTGTTCCATCCAGCTCTTTCTGTATTCCATCTTTGTACCTGGTTTTTATCTGGTCCTTGGCAAGGAGATCTGGCTTGACCTGACAGGTAGCTTCATTTCTGGCTAGTTCCATTCACCCTTCCTCCATGGAAGTTTATCAGTGTAAATGGAATGTTTTTTGCCATTGGTCCTCATTTGGCCTTTTGATCAGGGGGTCTACTGTCTCCTCAATCTTGGGTTATTGGGTTATTGTTCCACACTTTTCATTTTTCCCGATACTGTAGGGTGTTTGCTTCTCATACTCTTTCCCTGTTGATGCATTCCTTATGGATTCTTTGTCCGCCGTGGTGGGCTGTTCTTCCGGATTGAGATGTTAATGTAGCCCTTCACTGCCTCACTTTGCCTCCATATGAACCACTCTTCACGTGCTCCTTGTTTCACCTTTCCCTTGAGACTTATTTCCTTCTACTTTTAGCCTGTGATTATCGAAGATCAGATTTATCTGGCATCGATGTTTCATGTACTCTTTATCATTCTACATATCTTCTCTTTTATCTGGATCATTTTTTCCTCCCCAAAACTTTGGCAGCTCGGTAGGGTAACTCCTCCTTTTCACCGATTTCCCTTCCTTTAATTTTCCACCTTCATTCTCAGCCTGATCTGGATAGATTTCTATGTCTTGTACATGCTCTTTGTTGTTATGTTGCCTGCACGGCTTCTTTCTATGGCGCCCATTCCCGCCTCTTTATTTCTTGGCAGCCATCCTCTGTTCATGATCTTTCTCCTTCTACCCTCACCAGTTGGGTTTGACTTTTAATTTGATTGGTTTATTCCTTTTTATTGTCTTCCTCCTGTACTTTATTCCAAGTGTCCTCTCATCAAATTTGACACCTTACCTTTTCATTGGCATCTCATCTTTGTTGTCCTTGGAGGAAATTCTTCAATCGGGCATGTGGACTACCCCTAATATGTTTGTTTCTCACTATTTGCATAGGATCGTTGTTTCTTCCTCTTTGGGCTGTCATCTTTCGCCTCTAGTCATTCTTCAGACTTCAGTGAGACTTTGACTGTGTAAGTTCTTTTTTATTATTCTTTATTTTATTTTCAGTGGCCTTTTTCCCTTTTTATTATTACTCATTGTTTGGATCCCGCTCTGGAGCGAGTGGTGCTTGACCAGGTATTCTTTAACCGATCAAATCTGCATTGTAAGGCCATGTCGACTTGTGTATTATATTTCTATGGCCACGTAATGCACACAGCAGAGATGGGGCATTCCACAAGTTCGCTTGTAGGTTTATTCTTTGATGGAATTGCTTCATAAATTTGCCTGTCCTGGACCATACTCACCCATGGAATACATGGGGGAAGCAGAAGGGGATAGCTGCTATGCCTTGTATTGAATAAATTGGTATGGTCTGCTTTTCAAAATAGGGTTTTGTGGTCACCCATTGCACTGTCTTAGGTGTTGTCATTCGTTTGGAATCTCCATCTCATTTTTCCTCTCCTTTTCTTCCAGTGGAGTTTGAGAGTTCTTATCACTTTCCCGTTTCAAGCTGCTGGGATGGTGGAACATGGAGGCATCCTCCTGAATGGGTTAATCCTTTAGAGACTGGTCACAAGTGAAAGGCCATATCATCTCGTTTGGTGACAAGCATTCAAAATTTTATTGAACTATTATTTTATGAATTTATGTCAATAAGTTTGGTATCAAACTGTAGATTATAATTCAAATTTTAGAACTATACATAACTAAATTTCTTAATTTAAAAGTAAATATTAAAAAAACACAGATAAACGTCGATTTTTGTGTGTCACTTTGTATGTTGAATGCAGCACTGATTCAAATTAGATGTTTGTGAAGTCAAAATACTAAGTCTGTAGTTTCATACGAATTAGAAACTCAAGTTACAGATATTAACAAGCTAGAATATAAAATAAGAAGGTTTTATCTTTTATATTTGCTAAGATATTGCTCACGTAATAAATCAAACACAGTGGCACCCCGCTCACCTCTTTCAATTTTTGGAAACACTCCTTTATACACACTTACTTCTATATATATTTGACATGAATAACCAATCAGAAGGTCCCCCTAGTGGTTTTCTCAGCCTTTCTAACGTACCTAGTGCCATTTCTTTATTTTGAATCAAGATTTCAATGAGGTAGGTTGTGTCTTTAGTCTGCTCAAATTTCATATTTTTTTACACCCAAATACAGCTTAGTTACTAAGCTTGATAAATTATAGTAGAATTCTATGATACTGATATAGTAATTTATGATTTTTTAGTTATTCAAAAGTATATATAAAACCTAAAAAAAATGTTTTGTTTCATATCCTCCACGTGCAAAATTTTTAAAGGCTTAACAACCTATGTCAAGCAGCAACCGAGTACAAAGGTCGTAACTAGAAGAGATAATTGTTTGCTTTACTTCTTTATTTA